CATAAGTCAGCTATTCCCCGATACAAATGACGCTGCTAATATATATCCGCTTGGTTTTATGTGATAGGCTGGCAAACGACGAGTTGCCTGATGGTAAGCAATCACCGCCGCCCATGGCCACTCGCAACAACAGAGAAGTTACGAGTGCGTGGAGATTTAGAGATTGGCGAGGCATTGGGGGAGGGCAAGGATTGGGCCTCCGGATTCGTTGGCGTCGATTGCTTACCATCACATATAAAAAAGGCATTAGTAGATAATATTGCGTACTGTTGCAGCCGTCGTGCGTGTGCAGCTACGAGGGCTCGGCCCCGGGCGCGGAGGACGCGGACGACTACCGCAGCGAGTGCGAGAACTGCAAGTCTGCTAGCAGCTCTAGGTAACTACTCGACTATATGTATACAAGGTCACATTGTGAACGAGGGACATTCAAGAAGCCGATTTCGGTGCTCAATTACAACAACTCTTTCCATAGGACTAATAGCCAAATCTTAAAAATAAATTTATTTCCCTATACAAATCGCAACAGCTGATTGATCATTTTGCATGAAGAAGTAAATTTTTTTTTGAAATTTCCATTTATGACTTATGGAAAAAGTTATTTCATTTGAGCACCGGAATAGGCTTCATGAATATGTCTCACGTTCAAAATGTGACCCTGTATATGTAGGTGGGTGTTGCCAACTCTTCACCCTATTTAAATGGTGTTAATTTAGTTTAATAAAATCCAATTTGGTATTACGATTGAAAGATCTAACTGATACATATGCCAAAGAGGCCTCTTCTCTTTTATTGTCTTCAATATATCATCACATCATCAGCCTATATGTGCCCACTGCTGAGCTAAGGGCACTTCTCACACGGAGATGGTTTGCATTAATCACCATGTTTGCTCAAGGCGGATTGGCGAATCGGCAAACTCATAATTAGAAATTATAGGTATAAAATGGTATTAAAATGTTAGATCATAAATTTGAAATCGCCGCTAGTAGAGGCGGTACAGGCTAGTGATGATGACGATGATATGGAGATTGTGATGTGTGTGACTTGGGCAGATGGGTGCTGGAGGAGGGGTGGGAGGGTGGTGCACTGGAGGGCGGCGGCACGCAGACCCTGCAGCGTCGCGCGCCGCCCGCGCCCGCGCCGCCCCCCGCCACCGCCACGCTGCCGCAGCCCGTCACCAAGCAGCCGTGCGTACCCTCTACTCTCTTATGTGTATACTAGCTCACCTGGTCAACTCTGTACCGCCCCAAATATAACTATTTGATTTTGACCTTTAAACCTTCCCTGGACTCTCACCAATAATTCAAGAGCATAATCAGCCAAATCGGTATTCGTTGTGTGCGCGATGACAGCGCCCCTAGTGGCCGCAACCATTCAGGACTTGTCATCTGTCAAATCATAATAGAATATCTGAAACTGTCTAGATAAAGTTCCACAAACTTACTGCCATACATTACATCTGACCAGATGTCAACTAGATGATAAGATATTGATATACGCTAATTTGCAATTCTGGTGTTGCTGAGATGTTGATCAGCAATCGCTATCCACAACACCAAAGTTGCAAATGCGCTGCCGGCCATTTGGCAGTTAGTTAGGCTTGGAGATTAAAGGATTTGGGGATTGCAAATGGTACGATGGGAAAATAGTCAAAGTCAAAAATCATTTATTTCAATTAGGTAACAGTGGGCACTTTTGAACTTCAAGCAAAAAAGAAAGAGAAAAAGTATTTTAATAGGTTTAAATTTATGCGTCCGTCTGTCCTCAAGTGAAGTTATTTGCTCGTTCCAAAGTGTAGATTCGGATGGAGAAGAACGAGCAAGAAACTCCATGGTTACTCTTTTTCAATCTGTTACATCATTTAGTCGTAATTACATTTAGACTGACAATATTTTACTCCTGGTAATTTTGACGCGATGCTGTAAGGTAAGCTGGTTGTTAAATAATTGATTAAATAAATGTAGTTCTTCATAATTATCATATCATAGAGCAAAAGCATCATAGTAATGGCCTCAAGAATGGCATTTAAGTGGATGGTAATGGTAATTCGCTCATTGCGTTGAAGGTATTTCTTTTTATATTTAAGAGTAACTTTAGTTGAAGAAGAAGTATAACAACACAAAGTATAATTCATAAATAACGATATAATATGTTTCCCTTCCACAGTCGAACAGTGATGGGTCCCCCGTCTAACTGGGAGAATTGGTTCAACACGATCCCCGACTCCGACTCCGAATCCGAGGAGGAGTAGACACGCTCACAGACAACGCACACTACGTCACACACAACTAATTACTAAACCCCAGCCAGTACTTAACTAATGGAGTATGTCAGGTTTCATCGTATTACAAACATCAAGATGTCCACTACTGACGATAGACCTCCACAAATTAATTACAGATCAGCTCGTGGAGGCTATCTGTTTCCAAGCGAATACAAAGTCAAATAATTGATTGTTAAACCATAAAGGCAAGTCTTAATGTTAATTCATCAAACTCTTAGCGAACGCGCTCGTGTCTATCGATATATATCTATTGTCTCTCGAATTACTACAATACGAAGGTTAAACAAAATTACTCTATGTAAAAAGTTAATAAGACAGGTCAGATCTCAAGTTAGAACCTCGTCGTTATTTGCTCGTTCCAACGTGAAGATTCTCCAGCTTCCATGCAAACTAGGTACCTATATCAGGTTGCCTGTTTGCTTCTAATATTATTCGTTGACACTTAGCATTTGTCGACAACAAATTGAAAAACAAATGATCAGCTAGTTTGGTTTCTTGCGACGTTGTTGTTCCCTATGGTTTCGCAGTGGATGTCTTATGGGTGTTCATGATCGTGATAATAATGATGTCATCGAATACAGCAGGCTGTTTCCATAGCAACATTGTTTTCTCCATTCGTTAATGACTTGTTTTACTGCGAAATACTTCTAACATAATTGGGTGTATGTGTGATGATTGAAGTTATTCTGTAAATGTTGTTAGGAATGGGCTCGAATATATTATAAAATACATGGCTGGATGTAGTCGTCCAATTTACTGTTAGAAGTATCTCGTGTAATGGGGTGAATACAAATTATGTTTTAATCGTAAGTTTCAAAATGTATGTATTATTAGATTTCTATTAAATTCATCACTTCTTTATTTTACAAAGTAAAAGTTAGTATTAAATTTTGCCAATATTTTTTTAAGAATGGCTGAATTATTTCAGTATTTAGTGCTAGTTACAATTAGACTTGTCTCTTTCAAAGTTGCTTATAAAGCAAGATAATTTCGAAATATTTAAATAATAACATTCTTTTACCGTACCTTGTTATTTATTAAGGAAATCGACACAATACAATTAACTTATTTGCTATATTTTTATTGTTTTCACATTCCTTTAATGATATTAAGTTTATTTTTACAAATGTGCACCACATACCAGTGTTTTTTATTTATAGTTTGCACATGTAATGTGTTGAAATGTCAATAATGAATTATATTATTAATATTTGTTGCCTAACGCACTTCGCCTATGTATAAAATACCAAAGATTTGTTATGTTTTATTTATATTATTATGTTTTATAATTAATTTGTATGTGTATTGTTTTGGTCGTGCCGTTTGGTCATTGATATAATTGGAGGCAGCTTATATAAAAATACATTGGCTTTTCAGTAAGGCTTCGATTCTGAACTGTGTAATATAAAATTCTCAAAGTTTATTATTTGACAATAAATTCCACGGCTAAAACAATACGTCGAAATATTTGTTTCTTATGTATTCTACGAAACCAAAAGATATTATAGGTTTTGTTAAAATATTATTTGACATAGTTAAGTACTAAGTAATACTGATAGTATTTTATAAATTTAACAGGATTGTCACAAATTGATTGAAATTTCCTGTTCAAATATAAATCAAAGAACTAGTTTCGAATATTTTGATAGGTTACATAGTGCCAAAAAAGAACTGACAGAGGTAAAAAGAGTTTGTAGTGGTATATATTATATTGTACCTATGTAACAAGCATGGTGTTATGATCTTCTCCGTACATGTAAGATTATACATTGTTTCTAAGCGGTTCGAATAAAGAATATAGTAATAGCACTGTCTGGTTGTCTGTGTGGAACTGTTTGAGCCGTACTTTTACACTTAGGCGGCGGTAAGAGCGACCGTTGAGCGCAGGTCGGAAGAGACTCCCTCCGAGAGTGGGTGACGTTAGGTACCTGTATTTATATATGCATATCTGCCTTCTTATTCTGGGATTCAGACTTAACTTTATATCACAAATAATTGTCATTTCTAAAAATGATAGTTTGGTACTTATTTTCCCGCCAATTTTTCCCTCTTCAGTTCTCTGTCAACGGTACGGAGTAAGACCGTGACGCCATTGCGCTATGAATAAATTGTCCTGAACAAACAAATGCCTTACACCGCAATACAGATAACATTTGATGTTAAAAGTAAGAGAACGGCAAGCCTTTACAGTTAAGGACTTTTGGTATTAGATCTGCATTCGTTTATACAGTTTATTTGTACTTTTTTAGTTATAAATAGTACTTTCTAGGTTTCTGCTAGTGATTGTAATGCAGATCTAGTGCAATGTTTTAATATATTTTAGTATCAACGAATATAAAGTGAAGTATAGTGCGTTCTGCGTATATTGTGTTCTGTAGCCATCTGAGTAACGGTACTCACAAAAGAAATTCAAGATAAAGTTTTTTTTACCTTACTTATGTGGAACACACTACACAGAGTAGCGTTTCTTACATTGATTGATGCGTCAAATTCTAAAAATTTCGACTCGAAATTTTCATGTGTAGATTTCTTATAATTAATTGATTTATAATTACAGCTATTTGCTAAACGTCGGATGTAATGGATTATTCGTTGGATGCCCTTTCCGTTCCACCTGATGTTTCTTAGTGTAACCAAAGAAAGCCGAGTAAATGAAAATGTGATTGTTATCATTTAGTGTAATAGAAGTCGCAGTGTAGATGTTCAAGCTCAATATATTAAAGATATCAGTTGACTTACAACTTGAGATATTAAAGTTCAATATAAAGAAGTAAAAAATGAATATCTAGCTATACTATATTTTTGTCTAATAAGATTATGGAGCAGTAAGATTATTCGTATTAATAAGATGTCTTTAGAATATAATTAATAAGAAATTAATATTTTACCCTTTTTTCTAACATCGCCGTGTTATTTGTTTCATGAAAATGTTTTGTAGGCAGGTCGTATGAAAGAAAATAGAACATTAAATAGTCTGACTTTCAGGGTTGTAAGTTAAATAGCACGTGTATAATATTTAGTCGTAAAAATAACGGAACATTGACAGCGACAGTGCTTGCTCGTTGGTCTTGTTGGGGATGCAAGCATCTGTAGTTAGGACATTCAAAAATAACTTCATTCATTTATTTCTTCAATTTATTCTAAACAACCTAACTGTTCAATAATATGTTTCACTGTATAGCATAATACAAAATTAGAGGCCGTCATACGAGCGGTGTCTTTTACAACCCATTAGTCTGGATTTTTTAAAGGATGTTTTATAAAAGAAACGAATTAAAAATCACAATGACTAAGTCACATTTATTTTTATTTCACATTTCATACGCAATAAGCAATAAATTCGAGAGTAACTGTTCAGTTACGTATTTAGTTTATTAGATAGGCATTAATAGTTGTAATATTTTCGTCTAATTTATTAAAAAAAGTAAATAATAATTAACGTTACCGGAAGATAACTGTGACTGTTCACTGATGATATAACTATCGACTAAATATATCAATTTGCATGATAAATCGATTGTCTCTATTTTATATAATAACATCTTGAGCGGTAACTAGTGTTTTAGTGAGCATGAACAGCTTTGACCGATTTGTTTACATTCCATTCAGTCATTCATTCAATTCACTTATTTTGAATACGAAAATACATGTGACGCCAATTAGTTAATTTGTTGACGTTTGCAGGTCACCAGTATTATCTACAATAATTCCTAAACCAAATATCTTTGTTTTTAATTATGAAATAAACAAGTTAATGGAAATATGTTACTGTTGTTTTATTTGTTTACAACAATTGTTTGATCAGGAACATGGTGACGATGAATGTGATGGTGTTTGATGCGATGATGCTAGAAGCAGCGTCTTCTTCCTCTGGATCGGGCAGCCAGGGCCCGCATTGCCTGTAGCCTGCTTCCTGCACAGATACGTGTGACATATTATCTATCTATACTTATAATATATCTGTAGAGAGGTAAATTCTGTACATTAAATATATTTTCAAAATAACTACCAGGGGGTTATAAGTGATCGGTACTGATGCCAAAAATACATTCAGTAAAATTTTTGTCTGTCTGTATGTTCCTTATAGCAACAAAAACTACTCTATGGATTTTAACAAAACTTGGTACAATTATTCTTTATAGGATTATAGGATACTTTTATCACGCTTCAAGTAGTAGGAGCAGAGCAGTGAAGTGAAGGGAAATGTTAGGAAAACGGGAGGAGTTACTCCCTTTTGTAAGTTTCCGTCGCGTGTGTTACCTTAATGGTTGAAGTTACATGAAAAATATGTATTACGGAAATATTCAACAAAATTATCTAAAAAAAATTCTACAACATATGTCTATCTTTTATGGTTAACTTACAATATGCTATAAGTATTGTTTTTGTGTTAGGGTTGCTCGACGCGACGTGGTATAAAATATAATATAATATAATAGGTTTTATGAAATATTAGTAAAACCTACTTACCTATTACGTAGATCCGTACCATTCTATCAATGGACGGACGGATAGCGGAGACTTAGTAAGTAATAGGGTATTTACCCATTGGAGATGTACCCATAAAAATAAGACGATTAACAACAAATTTTATGTATACTTCGATTTTGTTCTAATGCTATAGGCAACGCATATCAATACAGCACGCGGGTGAAGCCGCTGACGGAAGCTAGTGTAAAATAAAACTCTCTTTGTGAGGAATATAATACAGTAATTTTGGCCTCGTTACACGGTCGGTGGCTGAAACTATGAAATTTATGTCATTATAAAAAAAAATATATTTGTTATGAATATTTACTAGTAGGTATATATTACAATTTGTGTAGATGCAGCCATAGAGAACAAACAAGACACCAACAAGCTTGTGTCTGTGATATTATCTTAAATTATAGTTAATATATATTTATAACTAGCGGCTTGCCCCCGCTTCGCTCGGGTCCATCTATATCGCTATGAACGGGTCACCTTTTCCTAATCTTCCCCTTTACTTTTCTAATATTTTCTTTGATAAGAACCTTTTCCTGACGATAACAAACATAACAAAAAAATAATTATCAAAATCGGTCCAGGCGTTGTTGAGTTATGCGCTTACCAACACATTTTGCGATCCATTTTTATATATAAAGATTATAGGTAATAGAAATAATATTATAGGCAAAATTTGTTGTCTAGCAATTTGAACCTAGACAGGACTGAGTTTTTATCCCATCTACCATATCTGATCTGCAGTCTATTAATTACTACCTAGGTTTTGTATGTATGTAGTGTACCTATTACATTGAAATATAAAGACTCTTCTAAATTAAAATTTTTCCATCGTTTGTCTGAATTCCCTGAAGATCTGCAAAATTAATTTGGTCCTGAAAATCGAACCTGAGATCACTGAATCAGGTCTGGCCGTCATTTGAACGAGGCAGGCAATATAGGTAAGTAGGTATAATATAATCAGACCACTAACTATGATTACAAAACGTAAAAGAAAATAGTTTCTTACACGTGCGTAGTTGTGTGAGTAGCACTTGACATGCGGCGGCCGCGACGGCAGCGGCACTCGGTTCCGCCAACACGCCAACTTACTCGCTGAACTCTGTCTGTACCCTTTCACGTCTGGGTCCACTTCCAGGTACTAGAAAAACAGTTAAGCAGAGAAGACTTAAACGAGTTCAGGAATACCTACGGACCTACGGAAAATAATGAAATATTTATAAATAAATGAATGATTAGGTACCATCACGCAAAGGAGGACGTAGAGGGCAAGCAGAACCAAACCCGAACACGCAACGCTAAGCCCCGCTCGTACGGGGCTTAGCGTTGCGTGTACGCCTCAAAGAGCTAATAGAGGGGCCCTATAGGGCCGATTTTCAGCCAAGATTGTGGGGCTAGCGCAATAAGGCACCGAAGCTTCGGCCTAAAGCAGGAGAAGGAACGGGTGGGTTTTTAGTTAGTAAGAGACGTTTAAGAGAGTTTTTAGACACTCCCTCTCGTCAAAACCTGGGCGTCAGAAGTCGTTTGATGATTTTCCCCTCACAAAAAAGGTGATGTTGATTCTTCATACATTACAATTTACATAATAGGTATCGCATTAAAAACAGTAGAAGGAAAATGTTTCAATATTTTCCTCCAAACAACTAGATAACAATAAGCGAGATGCAATCTAACAAAACGGTTGATGTAGATTCGTGGACTTTTATCTTTAAATTATTTTCTTTTATCTTTTGACATATTTTTACGCAATTATCTTAGTATTTTGGAAAATGCAAGGGATTCGGAATTTAGATATGTGTTGTTTAGGTTTTCAACATTTTCTGTTTTGGCGTTTAGAAGCTGTCATACCTAATGACAGCTTCTAAACGCCTATCGGATTATCTAGAACTTCTAGTTTTATTCCTCACTAATTGCCTGGGTTGAGAGATGCACGAAAAGCAAGTGTCATTAGTCATCAGTACCTGCATTTGGACATTTGAGAAACAAGCAACCATTATTTTCTGCATAGCGTATAGCGTAATATGTACCTACCAACATAATGCAGTATTTGAGTGACTACGCAACCATATAGAAAATATTCAAAAATAAATTCTATATGCGTCTAGTAAATAAAAACAATCACAGGCTTGCGCAACAAAATTGATAACAAATTGTCATTGAAGTGGGAAGAAAGAAATAGCTAGAAGTTGGGATATCGAAAAGGTTTAGAGGCAGACTCGTGACGCGTGACCGTCAACGTTTCAAATAAAGGTGGTAAAAGTTTCCAAGAGTAGGTGGTCAGTTTACTTACCTGTTCATTAATAAGAGGGTCGTTGACAGGTTTTCCCCTTAGCGGGCAATTGTTGTATACAGCCACCAACAGTAGGTTGGTCTTCGGAACACGCGCTGCCACTAGAGGCCAACTGCATGGCTTCGGAGGACGGTTTAGAGCTTCTTGCGCTCTATTGGTGTTCTGAAAGCATTTTTGGAGTAGATTTTGTAATCCTGTGGTAAAAATTGATACCTACATATATATATATTGTATTATAGAGAGAAGAGAAGACCTGCTATAAATATCTTTTATGGTATCAAGTAGATAGATACCAAAAAAGACGAGTCTTTCAATTAATTGAGTAATACATATTTATTATTATTATTATTAGATAGCCATAATGAATCATCAAAATGGAAAATCAAACAACTATCTTATCTAACATATCAAAAAAATCTAAATCTAATCATCTATTGATCTAATAATGCGTTGATTTTTACGACAATACTTTATGTGAGTAAGATGTATAAAAAATTACCTGATTAGACAACACACAACACACGTAAGTTTTTGTTTTTCTCGAAATAGAGACTTCTAGTAGGTTTCTAGTGTTACTGCAGAAGTGTTAGAAACTAATTTCAGAAATGCATTTTATACTATTCGTATAGTGAGTTACGACTTTCATTGTCAACAATATGGCTAGTTGGAGGACTCGACTGAAGTTTTAAGACCAAATTTTCATTTATCCGGTTTGAGTTACATGTCTTTGTATTATTTGGTCTACAACTAAAACTCGCAACCAACTTTTTGTTGATATTTCCCATACTATGTATTTTCTTTTCTTGTAATTTCCATTAATTTCCATATTCAAAAGTTCTGTGTAGGTTTTAAGACCCGCAGTTGTATTCAATAGATTAAGCAGTTTTAGTAATTCGTTTCGAAACCATTATTTTAAATAAGAGAACATACTGGCGGCCATATAACGTAATTTTATATATACATAATTATACAGTACCAAAGTAGACACACATATATATGTATATGATATGCATCAGTAAGATATGTGTGCACCCAATAAGAATTCTTGGTACTTTCTTCGTATCAAATTAATTATCTACTTACATTTATCTTAAACATGAATTTTACATATGCCTTACATCGTATTATGATGTTAATAGATTGTATCAGAACATATTACATGATTGATTAATTAAGGTCCTGTAACTACCTACGTACCTACCTACCTACGTAAAGGCCAGACTTCCTAAATGTTTTTTTTATAATTGATTAAAATACAAGTTAAATAAATTTAGATAGCATCATTAATCGAAAAAGTTAGATGTAGTACCTAGATGCGCTCAATCACTTTGCCGTTTTGGGCTCCGACCTACTTAGTAACAAAAAAATGTTGATAAGATATCAAGTTTCAACTCAAAATTCTTAAATGTGCAGTTATTTATGTTTGGGTTATAATTATACATATAATAAATTCTCGTTTATGAAGAAGATTTACTCTTCACTAGCTTCCGTCTGCGGCTTCGCCTTCGTGTTAATCCAGGGAATCATCTATCTACATAAGAAATTCCAACCAAATCAATCCAGCCGTTTTTGTGTGAAAGCATAGCAAATATACATTCATACATTCTCACAAACTTTTACATTTATAATATTAGTAGGATTACTGCGCTGCGCATCTGTACAAAGTATCATTAAGCTTCACATTTACATTGAAACTGACTTACAACGCACAAGACATGAAATCTAGAAGTGACAAGTATAGTGTGTGAGAGCCAAGTTTTGGCACGTATGGATCAGCTCGACCGGAGTGATACCACGGCCTCACAGAAAACCGGCAAGCAACAACCAGAGCGTTGTGTTCGCCTTGTGAGTGAGGTTACCGGAGGCCTAATCCCCCCACCCTTTATCCCTTCCAATCCTTAAATATCTGAAACCCTTATCCTTTAAAACCCGGAACGCACTCGTAACTTCTTTGGTGTGGCTGGTGCCCATGGGCGGCGCTGATTGCTTACCATCAGGTAATGCGTCTGCTCGTTTTCACTGTACCATAAAAAAGACAAATGTACCTGTAAAAGATAGAGTACTCTAGACCTATCACACGCTGCGAATCTCGTTCTGTTGACGAGTACTCGATCGTCATACAACGTCTCGTACTTTTCGCGCTCATAGTCTCGCCACAGACGCTTCTTGCGTTTTTGTTTTTCTTGCTCCGTGTCTCCAGACACTAGTGTTACACAACCTGTTGAAACAATAACATTCAGTAAATCTATACATTTTGTGTATATATAGATTCTAGCCTGAATAATTAGAGCCTGCTGAGAAACCAGGTGTTAATTTAAGCCAGTAGATTATATAAGCAAGAATCTATTAGATTTATTAAAAATATAATTGACTCACGTGAAATTACAGGGAAAAACATTATAAGTTTCAATTCTGTGCACGTCACGAGTAAAAGCCTCGTTGTGACTCAAATTAGTAGAGCTTTTCTCAGTTAATGCACTTGAGTTAGCCGTTATTTTGTTTTTTTTTTGTGAACTGTTAATTGTTGTTTGTACAAAGAATTAGAGACTTACTAGAACTAAGTATAGTGATGAGAGTGACCATTTCCTGAGTAACTCTGAGGATAATGCTGACTGAACGCCATAGTGACCTTAGTATGGAGGGCACCACCTGTAAAATGTAACAGTCGTCTTTTTATCCAGTCAGCCATCGATCTTGATGAACATATTGAAAGGGATTCTCGAAGAGTGTAAAATTATGTTGAACAATCCAGTAAAATTAGTATACACATGTATATTTTAGGTGCGAAAGTACCTATTAAACAAAATAACTCACAGTCATGGCGGAATTTAAAGGCTCATCTTCAGGGGGGAAGCAAACGCCCTGGTAGTCATGTATCCAGTTCATTTCAAACACGCTGGCGTTGAGCAGTGCCTTCATAGCCATTGGAAAGACGGAGGCAAAGTGTTCACGAAGAGGTTCGTCGGGCTCTCCAGTGAGGTTGCGACCCTCTCTGGCCACTATCCAACCGTACTCATCTATCAAAACGCATGACCAGGTCACTCCATCGCAGCGAGCCCGGTAATCTTCACACTCCGGACACTAAAACATTAAAATTAAATTGACAATACTTGCTGACAATTTTTATTATGACCTACTACCCTGATTAATATCGGATGAAAAATAATAGGAATAATTAGCGTTGAATATTTATTACCATGGGTGATATACGAATTGAGGTTTTTAGGACTTAATTTTAAAAGTACCGTTAGGTAGGCCTGACCCAATATCCTGGTGTTTGCTTAAATCTACGAAACTACGCAACGGATGCGTTTTTTTAATAGATAGAGTGATTGAAGTCGAAGAAATATGTGTAGGTATATTAATTCTTAGGGGAGAAATTGTGTTTCAACATTGCAACTGTGCGAAGTTGGGGCGGGTCGCTAGTATAAATTAATTCATAGCTAGTTACTATTCAGATTCACGTTTAAAACAAAGTTTATCACACTCGTAGTCGGTAGACGTAGATGTATACGAAACGCGTAGTCGCTGTAGCAAATACGTAGCACTTGCTACGACTTGGTTACGCATCTCCCAAAATAGATTTTAAGATAATCCGATAAACTAATTGCATTAAGGGGATTCCTACAGTGAATTACTCAATTATAAAAATATCTAATGGCTTTATTTAACGTTCGGGTTAGTATTGCATGTTGAGATAAGATAAGTTATTATTTAATTATTATTAAAAGTATTTCGTACTTATATCAAGTAATATGCTTTTTGGCAGCGAAAACAAATTGAACTGACGTGTACCTATCTGTTTGTTGTAGTATTAGTCTCAGTTAATAACAGTAGTCAACCAAATACATTTTGCTCAGGGTCACGGGAGTAAGCGCAGTAAGGTAAGGGTCTCAACCTGAAGCAGGAGAAGGATCTCGCCAAGACCCATATCCTGGGTACCAGGGAAGGTATTTGATAATTTTCAATCCTCAAAAAAGTGTCCAAACAATTAATTTATATCACAAGTCTCCAAGTTCGTTATGGATATCGTATCCGAGATTAATCTTAGTGTCAGCAGAAGAAAATATACCTAAGATATTAAAAATTAAAAAGATATGAATGAATACTTACTGGGAAGTTAGTGACAGATTCTAGTAGATCGATTAAGTGTTGTGGATAGAAGTGGTACCCCGCTACTCCTATCATGCCATGCTCTGCGGAACCCAGCGTCCGGGCTGCGGTCAGCCATTCTGATCGTATGGTGTACTGCAATATGATATTAAGAATAATCACTACATAGTATAAAGCAAAGTAGCTAGACTCTGTCTTATGTAACAGATTTTGATGTGATGACTGAAGACGCAGTTTTATTAGGTATACCTACACATTAAACAGTAGAAAAAAATTGTATCAAGCCGGGACAAGTCGCTAGTATTAATAATACAATGAAATTGGACTATCTTACGTCACTTTTTGAGTTACCACCTTTACAAAGTCATCATCATCATCACACGGAGAAGGTTTGAGCATTAATCACCACGCTTGTTCAATGCGGTTTGGCGATTTTAAACTTATAATTCGAAATTAGAAGTCCAGGTTTCCTCACGATGTTTACCTTCACCGTATGTCAGTGGTGTCTAAATAATCATAGAAAGTACATATAACTCGGAAAAAGTGACATTGGTACTTGCCAGGTTTCGAAAACACACACTCATGCATGAGAAACGGGCTCCTTAACCTTCGGGCCACCACGACCCTTTGCAAAGTCGTTAGTAAGTATCATGAATGCTAAGTATCTACGGAATTGCACCAATAAAAAATCCACCAATTTCACATAATTTTATTACATGCCTAGGGCGTGACTTTTCACTTATTTTGATAAAGTTTGTAATATATCAATTGGTTTTCGAAATTTCCTAATAAAAATAGTTGTGTAATAATAATGTAAATGGAAAAGATGGTATCGTTTAATTAAATTAAGTCAATTAACAAGCGAATTTCATCAGTGATGATGATCTACCAGATAACGGCAACTATTCTGGGAAAGTGCATTATTATATGCATTAAATTTTACTTTGTGTAGTGTTGTATATTCGTGGCAATCATTGTGAGTTTTAAGTACTTTTTTATTTTTTTGTACTGTTAGCCTCTAATTTATGAGTGACATATTGAAATAAATCTTATAAATTACACAACTAAGTAAGAAGGAAAATACAAATATTATGTATTTTGGGGGAGCCATGCTGTGGCACGAATGTTGTGGCTTTATAGTAAACCTCTGTTGTGCCATATGAGTAAGGTTACCGGAGGTCCAATCCTCTCCCCCAACGGGCAATATTTGCTCGTTTGCCACCCTATTCCATGAAACCCAACTAATAACTACGGGGATTATAGTTATTGAGTGATGGCAGGTATGGAGGATCCCTTAACTGGCCAAATGTTGTGGGCCCATCAGTGGTGGTCGCCGGACTACGCCCGGGTCTGATTTCGGTTGGGTGATAGGTTACCTTTTGCTCGAAATTTACAGACCCGCGTTTAGTTGATATCTATTTATTTGGTTTTTATTTCTATAAACACTGAATTTATTTGGAACGTATTTTCTTGAATTATATGTTGTAATTACAGATATTGCTTAAATATTAGGATCCATTTACGCTTTTTTACTGAAAATCATGAAATATATTAGTTATAACGAAAATGAGGTTTGCTTAAAAATTTTACTTTACCTGTAGCAGCTGAAGTTGCTATAGACTTCGTCTCGGCCGTCCCTTTTCATTACAACGTTTCCAAAAATTCGAACGACACATGCCTGAATTTCTAACGTTTTGGATTAGAGAAGTAACAAAAAAACGGAATTCTTTTGTGCGCTTACCTATTTCCAAACTGATACCAAATATTCAGTTTCAATTACAAACCTCGTTCCGTATGAAACAAAACAAAAAAAAAAAAAATATATGTAACGCACATATTTACACGATATCAGATTCATCTTTAACTATCTTCCTATCAGGTATCCAAGTCACCTGATTGATTGTTATCAATGTTTAATCGATGAGATTACAACATATGCCATTGATGCATTTGAAATGCTTTTCGGTTGCAGAGAAAATGTGTAAAACAAAACAAAACTAAAACCTGAAAAAAAAAAGATATAAAGCTCTAAAAGATTCAAGAAAATAAGAATATATTGTTATTTATCGTTATGATTTTTTGTCTTTCACCCAACCATTTTCAACATATTGCGCCGACCCCAAATAAAACAGGACAAGTCAGGAAGATGAAGATGACCCAACCAATTTCAACAAACATTGTCGAATTTCACAGTAACTACGTATTATCCAGTACTAGCTACTCTCTCGCGGTTTCTCCCGCTGCTCGATGTTTTATAGCCTATAGTACTCAGGAACATTGTAGCTACCCATCAGTGAAAGAATTTTGGCAATCCGACCAGTGGTTCCAAAGATTACCCCCTACATACGAACTTACAAATTTTACCTCTTTATAATATTAGTATAGATTTACACAAACACAAGCACTATCAGTAAATCGTTACTATTACTCTCTAATTTCCTTTTAATGATCCGAGATGATGACAAATTGATGTAACCAGAGGCATATCAACTCTGTACAAGACACAGTTAGTTAGTAAGAGTAAGCAGTAAGATTGAGTATTATATACTCATAAAAAAGGATCATGATCACGTAAACATTACTTACAGGCGGTGGCCGTGTTTTCGAAATGCGCATTTTCCCAATAGGTTCTACAGGAGCGTGTATGATGAGTGTGTCAGGTGAAGCAGCGGCGCGGCGGTACCATGACTCTGCAGGGCCTCGCGGCCACCAGGCGCCTGAGGGGGGGAGGGCGTGCGCACTCGTCGCATGATACTGCTGCCAACGGGTTAAGCCACTCTCTGCATACAAAGAGTGCATTTGTCATTTGGGTTACATTAGCATTTATTCATGTGTAGGTACATTTAGGCTTACATCCAAATCTAGAACACTAATATCGCAATCACTAAAATTGTTGTTCTGATTAAAAAGAAACACAATTTTCAAGATGTAAGCTTAAGTACGTACGTAGATGCAGAAATGTAGGGATGCAGAAAGCGATTCTGTTTTATACTACTTTTATATGTAGTGTTTTTTTTGGCTTCGAATAATATGGCAAGTTGAATTCATATCGCTGTGTTAACAACTATTACTACTATTAATATATTCATAAGGAATAATAATAACTTAGTTTTAATTTCATTTCATCATTTCTATTATTTAGCACATGACTCATTATCCAAATTCCTGTCTCACGAGGCAGGTAGGTAAGCGCGTGACGAATTATAATCCTTTGCTAATCTACAGATAAATAATATAAATCGGCTTAGAAAAGCGAATGCAGGACTTGTCGGAGCAGGTAGGAACCAGTATTTTTCACTTTTGAAAGAAAGAAAAGGTTTTGTATAAATAAGCATTACGCATAATCGAACCGAATTTCCTTCGGGGAAATACATAAATACCCTTTAGGAAAGGTAGCCTTTTTAAAACAGAAATCAATTAAATACTTGTATATGTTGACGCAATTGCATATAAATTTAGTAATTTGTTTTTGTTTTTCTCTTTGACGCTTCGTGTTATCGTCTAGTAAGTCTGATAAAAATGCGCGATTGTAAATTATCGATTACTTTACTTCCGATTATGGGCGGTATTTTGTAATCGAGCTAGAAATATTTTCACTTTTATAGCTACCGTGTGTAGGTAGCTTTAAATGCTTCGACCCAGTGATGTACAAAAACCGTTCGTCCTTGCAGTCTTTATATGTAATCTTATTCTAACAGCGATAAAATCAAAATATTTGTAAAAAGAAATTACTTTCACAGTGCAAAAACAAATGAAATCCCAGTAATATCTATGTGTACATAATATAGGTAGGTATTATAAACATAATAATATAAACGTGAAAGTTTCTACGTAGTGGGGATTATGTATGATGGATGTTTCTTATTGTAGCACATAAATACTACAAAACGGATTTGAATTAATTTTCACACAAAAATTTTGGTGAATAAGCCGTTAGGGTTAATGATATAAGACTTTATAAAGAAGCTGAACGCTATCCGATTAATATTGTATTGCCGCTAATCACAGCTATTTCCTTGATTGCATATCATAGAGAAAAGATAAAGCAAAATCTAATATGTAATAGAAAATAAAATAATGGGCTTTTGAATGTGATCGTTCATCGTAATCCTTAAATAACAACAAGGACGAGGTCACACAAAGGCCTGATAGTGTTATCACCATTTGATTTTAACACTCCCTAATTTCCGCGCCTTACATAACGTGTGCTGGACAAGGATTCCAAGATAAAAATGAGATAGGTTTTTTAGAATGGAACTTTGAATAGAGTAAAACATTTTTTTCTAAAGGGTAATGTTTAGTCTGCGACTTAATTTCCCTTATCGATTACAAACTGACCGAGAAAATTTTTAGGCTAATAATTGTTCAAATTTTTCTGATAACCAACAGCTGTTTTCAGGAATCTCAGAAATTTGTTCACTATTTGTTAACAGTTTTTGGCAAGACGTGAAAAGTCAAAAAACGAATTTAGACAAGAATTTTATTGTTTTTTGGCGTAATACAGGCGTTTTTGAAGCGTGAAAAATTAAAAAATCTATCTGTCTGTCCATTAGAAAGCTGGATGCAGTTCCGAAATGTGTATTCGTATGGCAAAGAACGAGCCAAAACCTCCATCGTTTTTCTTAGAATGTTAAAATGCATATACTTAAGAAAATAACAAATTGATAGTCACCACTAGCGAAGAACGCTGTTGTGGAACCCAACTCGCAGGTAGAGCAATCTCTCTCAGTGTCCGGCTCTTCATGCTCACGCGCCCACTGGTCCGTCGCGATAGCTTCCTTGCAGAATTTTGCCATCAGGTCCTCGTTACCTGTGTAGAAGTCAATATGCACAATTAGTGCTTTTTTGCATGTTATGCTTGCATGGTTAATGGGGACAAATGTATCTACATATATAACATACCGATACACTTCTTTGTCATTAAAGTTTGTATATACTATCAAACAGGTAAATCGAGCTTACACACCAGGAAATAATGAGCTTTAATTTTATGTTTCAATTAATGTAGTCATTGATAATATTGGTAGTTCAACAGATCTTCTGAGAAGAGGCCTTTGCTCGGCAGTGGGCACTTATGGGCTGATGATGATGATGATGAACAGATCTTCAATATTCTGTTATATTTCAAGATTGTACAGTAATTGAATATATTAATTTGTATGGCCTTAAAAGGTACTTATTTGAAAGTGTTTTATCATACTGACCGACCGATAACTAGATAAGCCGATAACGTACAACGTTATGTTACCGTGGATCAATAATAGTGTGGATTCATTATTGTAATACAACATTGATTACGTAGTAGTTGGATACTGACATGACTAGCCAACTACTAACTGTTGCCAGGCTATACCAAGGTTCAGATTACAAGCTCTTGAAATCAAGGGCTTGAAGGTCAGGGTGGCATTCTAAGGATGCGATATCTTATCGCGTATTTAGTTTTAGCGGCTGTATGATGTTATTATATACTTGAAATAGAGTTTGTTTACACATTTTTGATACAGTGATAGACGTAATATGCTACATTTTAGCGAACACTATAGAAAAGCTATCAGTGGAAGTTAAAACGAACATTGATAAGTCTTCTCGAAGAGTGATGGTGGTATCGGGCTGAAGAGGTACTTCAGTTTTTGCATTGGGAAGTTCGCTTCGTCGCTGCGACGCTTCACGAAGTGACGAACCTCTGCCTCACGCGTCTCGAAGTGTGGCTCGATGTGACGACAGTACAACCTAGACAATATTCGAGCTCAGAAATAGACACTCAAAGTCAAAGTCGATTTAAAGTTATATGACAGGAAAGACGGATGGACTTAGGAATTCCCTCAACATAATTAATTACGATAATTTATTAAAGATGACGACACATACTAAATTTAGTACCTCAGAACAGATAATTGTACATTTATCGCGACTTAAAAAAGGGGCAAATGTTTTAAATATCCATTTCACAAATATCTATACATGTACCTACTTGTATATAGGTATTAAAATTTTCCGCATAAATGTTTTTGTTAGCGGATTACTTACGTATTACCGAGAATTTTGACATTGCGACATCATTTGACGTCATATCTTTACGATCTTTATTGACTTTACAAATAATGTTTGATAAGGTGATTACCAATCAGGGTTCACAGCGTAGTCCGTCCTGGACAGCGATTTCCATGCCTCAGCAGCTATTTCTCTGGTGAAGGTAGCGTCGGGGACGGCATGCACTCTATTGTTAAGAGGTAGCACGACAATCGCAGTGTAATGGTTCAGAACTCTTTTCCAGTAGTATTGTCGCTTTTCCAAAATAGCTCTCATTCCGTCGTCATAAATACCTTTACCATACATTGTAACATTACCGCTGTCTTTATCTATTATCAGCGTCCTACGGAACTGAAAACTTTTATTAATTATTTTGTTTTTGTCTAGAGATTAAACATTTTAGCGATTCTTAAGCTTTGATCTTTACCTTCAGCCACTCTTCGGGATAATACCGCGGTTTATGATTTTCTGCTGGTTGTTCTAAGTCCAGGAGGTCAACGGTGCGGTATCCGGGTTTCAAAATATCGCCATCGAACTGGTATTGACACGAATATGTTAGTGAGTCACGTAATGTGTTTTTAGTTAACGAATGTAGAGACATGCTTATCTGTTTATAAATGTTGTATACATTGGAATTATATTCAATTAGACAGATTAAAAGATTACGATGATACAAAAATGAGGGACACGCCGTTACAAGTCTTAATTTTTGTGAATTTTGAGATTCAAAATCTGATTGTAGTTATAGATTTGTTAACGAGATACGAAACTTAACACTTACTGTATGCCGTACGTTGTCGTGTATGACTATATTGCCCCGGTGATCAGCTAGGATCAGAGATCCCCCGGCACCAACCTAAAACAGGAAGCGTGTGTGTTGCTTTAGAAGCGGAGACATTTTTACATCAAACTTGTTATATAACTTGTTAAAAAGAATATGTCTTAATAAGAAAAAAAAGTTCATTATAAAATTGCAAATGATATAAACAAATAGGTAATAAACCATGTAAACAACTAAAATCTTTGCAAACATATACATTATTTTTAACCCTTGGAATTTTTGAATCATGTACGATGCTCTTACGCGTCATATCATATCAAACTATAAGTAGTAATAATGTTGTATATTGAAGATAATTACACATAAGCGCGCAATAAACGTGAGTACGAGTATAATCCCAGATTTAGGACAATATCGGAGTAATAAACGGAGGATAATAATAATACATATATGTCAAGGATTGTATGAATCAGTAGTTATCGAGAACCCTGAAAATATCCCTTTTCTTTGACAAAAATATCCGCAACCTTGTTCTCATAACCATGAACTACTAATTTTTATTACAAGTTTTCGCAAAATTGAGTAATGTGATGATTAATCATCGTTGAATTAATCTAGAAACATACCTGGTGATAAGGGAGGATTAGTTTCAAATGATCGATGGGTATGTCTACACCAGCCACTCCCAATAGCCGGTTAACTGGGTACTGGGGAAGAAGAAAGAGGCCGTATTATTATAAGTTATCGAACTTTGGTCAGACCTACCTTATTGATTGAGTCAGTAGAGTGATTGGTTTAAATAAAATTGATTTTCGATTAGGCCATAACTTTTCAGTCATTAAAAGCACAGAGTCTGAATTTATTCTTGGGTCTTATGAAATTACTGGGGAAGGAAAAAAATGGGAGTTGTATTGGTCATTTATAGAACTCAATTTAAGTGGGTAGGATTCAAAGGCGTTTTGTGTGTGTTTTTGTTTGTTTGTGTATGTGAGTGCTTGCGTTTGTGTGTGAGGTAGGCTGTGTTCTTTTATGTGTGTTGTTTGCACAGATTACAATAAAAAAGTGCATCAGGTCATTGGTTTAAATTTGTATGGGTCTTCTTCCGCGTCAAGCCTTATCTTATTTTGCTGGTCGGCAATCATTAGGAAGCAACTACTTACATATCATATATCTACGTATTTAAGTGTTCTTTCTACGTAACGATTATAGTATTCGTGTCATTATCAGATGTATATGTACCTATGTGTACATACTTATATAGATGTATACTTATATAATGTCTAGTAAGTTGAACAAACGAAACTCACCGTTCTAGTAGAATTCCTTTGTTTTTCCTGTAAATAGTAATTGCGTGTGTGTAAATAAATATATTACGTACAAGTTGATTTATAGGTTTTAGATTCTAGTTCTAGTTTAGTACCTACATAGGTGAAAGCAGTGTAGGTTAAATATATAAAAAACCTTTAAGCTAATCAAAAAGATTTTATCAAAGTGATAAAAAAGTCCTGGAAGGTATTTCTGCCACAAGCTTAGATTTATGCATTTTATCGACAATACTCCTTAATCCCAAGTAGGTATTTTTTGTAATGCAACACTCGATACAGTACAAATACAAAATACGTTTACTAGGTACATGATTAGCATGTTAACAAAATTCTATATTTAAGAGTGTTTAGATCTTTACACGTTATTCTAGCGATAAGTCTAGCGGAAGTACCTAGTTGAATAATAGATTCTATATAAAAAAACATCTCTGAACTTACCTCATCAAGTTTCTTGGTAATGTTCTAAAAAGAAAAAAATATATTACGTTTGATTGGCGGTGAATATCGTTATAGATTTTTTCGACTAGATAGGGCAAGCAAATTACTTACTTCGCTAGTAACGTAATCGAACACTGGAACCGACACGCTGATCTGCAATCTATAATTCAAGTCCTCTCCTTCGTAGTAATGTCCGTATCTATTCTAAAACAACATAATTCACGATATTCATAAAATAACTGCATTATAAAGATTGTTTACATTATTACATTTGTTCTCTTACTCACATAATTAACTTGGTACATCCAGTCTTTATATAGCTGTGTGCTGTTGAGCAACTGTTTCTTGTTTCGTCTCAGATCTTTGTATCTGTTCAACTGTTCTTTATTCTCCTTAGATCTCCAATACAACTCACCTCTTCTGGGATCCTGTAATAAGAAGAATAACTTTCCATTCGTTCAACGTCCATTTTACTATAAGTAAGTCCGAAGTTACTATAAGTAATAATCTTGCAGTCTTAACTTATAATACAGAAACATGTACTTTTATAATCATTCTTAAAATTCCTTCTGTTAGCGTATGTTTTCAATTAGACTTAATTAGTAGCTAATTATCTCAAAATATAAGATTAAATTTCAATTTCTTAATATGTTTTATTGTATTAATCACTGTTACAACGCAATATTGAGATTTGTAATCTTTCTTTAATAAAATTTGTTAATCTACTGAAACGTATGACGTTTAATATCCGGGAAAATATAATTTAAATCCTCGTTGATTTAAGATGTAGAATACCACAGATCATTATTATTTTTATTTATTAAAATTAAACAGAAAATGTTGCACGCTGCTTGCATTGAAGCGATTTTTGATTTAAGATTATACTTATTTTAAATTATTTGTTGTTACCTCAACATGCGCGTAAACGTCACTGAATACTGTTAGTCTCTGATTCCTCTGCGACACTAGAGGGCGCTCCAAGACTTGCAGGATCTTCAGCACTTGTTGTGTGACGTCGAACGGTGTGATGAGCTCCGCGAAATAGCCATCGCGTTCACAGCTTAGGCCTTCACCATACGTGCGGGTGTTGTCCCGGAGACCGAAGACATCGTGCAACCACATCACGAACACTCTAATTGAATACAGTCAAACTTGGTTACTGGCAGATATACGTGTGCAGCCAAACGCATTTTTGCTTCTTTTATGCTTGCAAACTTAATTAACATGTGATGGATTGTGGAAATAAAATCTTATATACTTACATACTGTTTTCCTTAATTGAAAGCAATACTTAAGTTTTCTACCATTTTGGATTATATTTCTTATACTATGGTTTGTACCTGAGATAATAATGGATTTAATAACACCTAATTTATTAAAGATCTCCTCAAGAAGTTTGATGAAGATGCAGTGACAGTGAAATAAAATGTGAATTAAAGACGTAGTTTCATGGTTATTTTAGCTCGAAGAAAATTTAAAAGTAAATTTTATTGAATCGAAAGAAAGAAATAAGATATCAATTATGCACATGTAAGCTATTAAATTACGTGACGTCGGTAGCAAGTTACTTGTATCTTTGCGATCGGATCATGTGATTTTTTATCAGAGATCTTATTTCTCCCTCCGATCTGTATGATAACACGAAAAGCATAAAGTATCAGTGGATGAGCCAAAATTGTATTCAATTTTCAGAATTAGAATGTTACAGGACAATGTCAGTATTTAAATTAGGCTAATGAAATATTTTTTCCAATCAATTAAAGGCACCGTAACTTTGAGAGTCGTAGGGTTGACCTTGTAAGGAAAAAGCGACTTAACAATAGGGGTTTATTTTTTGTGAGGGGAAAAGCATCAGACGTCTTCTCCCGCTCGGGGTCAGGCGGGAGGGAGTGTCAGACTCTTGCTGACTAAAAACCCTCCTTTTTCTTCTCCTGCTTTGGGCCGAGGATGCGGTGCCCGGATTGCCCTTACCCCGCAACCCCGGCTGAAAATCAGCCTTATAGGGCCCCATCTGTGGTGGTCTATTGGCTCTTTGAGGCGCGGGCGGAACGCTACGCGCCGTACGCTCGGGTCTGGTTCTGGTCGGGCGGCGAGCTACCCTTACTCCCGTCCGCAGACCCGTGCTTACGGTGGAGATCGTCTCTTGTTAACAATAGGGGTTGGTACCTAATATTTCCACCAGGGTCGAGATGTCTCATTAAATGCGTATAGTTGTCGTAGAGACTGTCAGTTAGTAGGATGATTGCTTGCTGACAGGCTTTCGGCCGGTCCGGCGTCGAATGTTGCCGTTGTAACAGTCTTGTTGCAGATTCTAAAACGTCTGCCATTAACGTCTCATTCGTCATTTTATAATTATTCATGGCTGCCATCATTGCTGCCGTGTTGACATGGTTTGCCTATAAATTAACACAATTTTAATTACAACCAGGTATCGTGTTCAAGAATAGTTACGAGTTTAATTTCTTAGTAACCAAAAAATATCTGTGCTATCACCGCTACAATCAGACGAATAATCAAGGTCATAACAGTGAAAAATTAACTTAAAACAGGATTGTAATAACTACATATAAGTATACTTACTGAAACTAATTTTTCATTGAAACAACTGATAGGTGATTCTATAATAACATTGAAACGAAGAACGTTAACTCTGTCATCGTCTGTGAGTGCGCTGAGTAGTGCAAGGGTGAACTGTTCAGCGATGACTTGGTTCGAGGAGTTCTCCATAGATCCAGATGCATCAAGAAGTATTAAAACATCTCGCGGTGCGCCACCCGCACTCACGTACCAAGGCCGTAGTCTGCAGTCGTACACCTTATCCGAATCTTTGTCGGTATATTTCAACTTATACATGCTTTCCCATAGTGCCGCTGGAAATATAATGATCATTGTAACGTTTCAAAAGTGTAACCTGACATTCGCTATATCAAAACGGCTAATTCAATTGAAAATGACAACTTGTCCTTTTATTTTTAGTTATGTGTATTATACTATATGTAAGTTTATTTCATATTCATACGAGGAAATTACGTTTTATAAACATGACATCACACAAGTTTTTATTTTATGTCACCTGCCACTCTCATCTAGCTGCATATTCTAAAGATGGGTTGTAATATTTTTGTGTGTTAATAAAACAAATTAAAGCTTAGCTTCCAGTGGGTAATACTTGCCAGGGTAGTGCCTTAGAAATCCTTGAGCACTGCAAAAATATTGAAAGTCCATTGATGAATCCTGAGCATAGTTTTTTTGGAATGTTGAAAGCAAACCTTCAGACCAAAATAGATGTTCCTTTACATTTGGGGCTAAAAGAAAATAAACCAATTAATTAATTAGAAATACTTCAAATCAACATTAAAATGTGCGAGAGCACACGAATCGGCCGGCCCTAACGAGCCCAAAATGTTCGTACCAAAAAAAAAAACTTGCGTTGTTTAACACTCTATGCGTGTAGTTTTGTCGGTCCTTTACTACCCCTATCGCCAATTCCTAAAACTGTAATCCTCAAATCCCAAATAACGCAGAAAATACCGGCTACGCACTTATAATATATGTATATAAACGACTTTAGTGTTGCAGGTGGCTAAAAGTCGCGCCGTTTGGTTATCATCAGGTGATTCGGTGATGATGGTGATTTTATTTCAATGCTTACCACAATCAAATACTTCCGCTGAAACATGAACACTCGAGTAGTCTAAGGATACGTCAGCATCGAAATGTTTGCTGTTCTTGAGCTTGATCTTTCGCAGGTTTCTACAGCTGAGTGGTTCTTGATTCTCCTCTAATTCGCTTTTCTCAATCTTCTTCTTTACTTGATCTAGATTCTGAAATAGTTTGAATGACTTTATTAGTTTCTTTTTTGCTATAGTTTATTTAATATGTCATTCATCTCTCTTTTTGAGATGAGCAAAAAGTGATTTTTATTTCGTTTCTATTTCGAGTTCTTAGTGACGATTTATTAAGTAAAGTTCCTCAAATTAAACTACACGATTTAAAAGCACCGCACTAAGATCACCATTATCACTTAATTATGTTTCTTCAAGTCCGTTAACACAATGTATAAAGTTACCTACTTGGATACATAGTGAGCGTCGACATTAATATACGAAATAGGTATTTGAATAATTTATTCCAAAAACGATAATAGAACTTAAACTTTTTGTCGCCAACTATTGTAACGGACTATAAGCCTTATGTAACTACTTAATATTAATAAAGAATATAATAGTGTCCTTTATGATACTCACTACGCTGTAATCAAAAGTGTAGCTGTCATCTGGTTCAGCTTCCATCGTTGCTAATTCCTCGGCCCGTCGCATAATTTCTTCAGCAGCATGAGCTCTCCTCGATAACAATTCCTCCAAGTCTTTAGCCATTTTGTGTACGATGGCTGTACCGTTGCGTACTTCTATTTTTATATCAGAAAAACTTTTTAGTAGCACTTCTCTACGCACCACGATCGCTTCGTTTTCGTACAATTTCTGCGAAATTTCATTCGCCCATTCTTGAATTCTGTTGGATTGGCTTAACGTTAATATATGTATATGAAAATTTCGCGGAATGTCCAAGTGTGGACACTTTTACAACTGGCACGAGAGAAACAGATAAGACGAAATCAGAAAACAAATAATTTATTTGCCAAAATGTAGGTAAGTAACAAATATATTGTTTCGTAACTTTGGAGAGTCCCGGTACATTTTGTCATACGGCATGCCAAATTGTTAACATTACATTGTCTAAGTGGCTACGTTTACATCTAGTTACGAGGGTTCAGATATAAGTATTTTGTATTTAACCTACTTCAAAATTGCATTGGTTAGTTTGGTTACATAACACCATCTGGCAACATTACCCTATGACAGACGGCAACGATATTTTACTAATGAGTAATTCCGTTTCAATATCTAAAGCAGCCTGCAGTGTTTCTATGGTATGGATTTTTGATACTTTTCAGAATTTAAGATGTTTTTGCGTGAATACAAAATACTTCTTATTTTAATCTTTAAGATACTGGAACAACTAGAGTTTAAACTTACATATCTGGCGGTATCATTTTGGGAGGAGCTTTTACTTTCTTGGCTGCAACAGGCACTATTTTAGCATTCACCACGTTAGTTATTGATACAGGTTTAACTTCACTTTTATTCTTAGTAACTTCCAGCAAGACTTCTTCATGTTTCTCCAAATACTTTTTAATGGCATCGTCAGATTTATTTATTGAAACATTTTTTGATTTGGTTTTCACAGTTTGTGAATAGTGAATTAAAGTTATGAGTATTATAACATGAACTTTCATGATTGTAGTGTGGACGTTTGATAGGCAGGCTTGTTATCGCGGGTGTACGTGTATGGGCGGGCGGGCCGCGCTCCCAGCGAAAACTGTGCAGCCTCCATCGACGGCGCGTCGCCGCGACGGCTCCCGACATCCTGGCGCCACGCACCCCATTTGGCGCTACACCCAGTCATTGAATATCTTAACTTAACCCCAGAAATTTAGACCAACGAGTGCTATTGTATAAGTAAAATATATCGAAGTTTAAAAATATCAACTTATGAATAAATAATCCGAAAAATAAGCCAAGTAATAAATAAAAATGAATAAATAAAATGTTTATTTGTTGTAGGTAGATTACAAAGGTATATCTTAAAATTGGAAACAAAGTTCAATGAATACATCAACCTAAATAAACAATAAAAAAATCACAATTTTAATCCTTTATTGTGAACATTTAAGCGGATTAGCGGTCACACGTGCTGTGACTAATTCTGTAATAATGTGACTAATTTGGGGATTATGCGTAATACATTTAAGTACATTAATTATATCGATGTAGATTTATACTAACGCATGGCAGGTAAACTCCCTTTAATAAAGCTGCTTGGGCTTGGCTTTAATACCTACTGTTTATTTTTTTTATTTTGTTTTTTTCGTATGCGGCGAAAAGTAATTTCATACAATAACGCCCTGATTTATATTAATTTGACATTATTATATTCAAAGCGCATTCTAAGGCTTTTGCATACCAGCCATAAGCTGCAGTAGTGATGCGACTGGCAATATGCTATAAATGAGGTCACTTTTACCTACTTCATTCGGGCAAACCTGTAAGCGAGCATTTTCCATCCCAACGCTCTTCGCTCTCTATCAATAGCCTGATCATTACTCAGAGAATCCGTAACTACATGGCCGAGGCAAGGTAATAATATCTACAAGTATTTTAACTTCATAGAAACGGCCGAAACGCGAACTATACCTACGCGCCCGATGTCGGGACGCGCTCGGGACGCAGACAGACGCGGCTGTACCGCAGTGACGAACGGACGGTGTGTTGTCTTTTATTTAGAAATCAGCTCGAGTACATTATTTAATATGACGAATAGGAAATATTGTGCTGTTATTATGTTTGGTTGCATGAATTCGTCAATAACGCATCCAGACATAAGTTTTTTTTAAATTACCTGGAAACTCTGAAAGGTAAGACTATAAAATAATTCTACTTACTAGTAGCCTAGGTAGGTACATAATGTGTGTCTTTATGGATCATTATTTCCAGTTATCTCACGAAAACAGATGTTTGAATTTATAAATAATATGAATAAAGTTATTGAGACGAGTGAAGTAGGTAGTTATAGGCGGTTCTGGTTCTGAATGAATCATGATACGTTAGGTACCTACGTACTTATGCTTGTGTTAAAACGGTTCATGTATGTTTTGTTAGTTTGTATAATTCAAAGTAGAGAGTGTGGTATTTTATTATTAATAATATTTGTTTATTATCTGCGTTTATGAATAATACTAGAAAATATAATATACAATAAAACAGCTAAACTCATGTAATATTTTGATGTTTGAGGGTTGTGATTTTAGAACATTCGTAGTCAGCTGTTCAGTTCGGCATTAGTGGCCAAAGAAATTTTGTTTGTTTATTTTTAAAGCACTTTATTTGTTTATATAAAAAAAAGGATATTTACAATCACAAAACTAAATGGAAACAGAAAGTAGACAAAGGTAATTAAAATACTGGAGACGAGCAGCCCTAACGCATGTTTACGTACCGCGCGGCTGTAGGTATTTATTTCTTTCAAGCGGCCGAGTTACAATACTGTATGATATTTATACTGTGGCCGAGGTGTTTAAATAGAGTGACAACTTTTGGAGGAGAATCTGGAAGCTTTACAGTTGGAATATAAGCAGGTGTATTATTTTGTACCTTAAACACAATTCCTTTACTCTTTGTGGATTTCCCTGCTGTTTTATAGCCTATCAGTGAAAGAATTTTGGCAATCCGACCAGCAGGTCTTTATAATATTACTATTGGAAGTATAGATAGTATAGACTAGACTATAAACTAATAAATTAATATTTATAAGTACATAAAATGAAAATGAAAAAATAGGTCACTAAGATTCGGCGTCCTGTGTTTCGTAGTGTCTGGTAGTCGACCTCAGAACTGTCGACGTAGGTAGACCCCTCTCGGTCAAACTTTTATGAACGTGATTAGATGTTCATTCGGAATCCTGATAGCAAAAGACTTGAAGTCCACTCTGTGTCGACAGTGTATTTTTCCGACCTCCAGGTAGAGCTTTGCTTGACCCAAGCGGACGGCGCATAGCCACGCGCTCCTAAACGAGCCAATAGACCACCATAGACGGGGCCCTATAGGGCTGAAGTTCAGCCGGGTTTGCGGGTTAAGCGCAATGAGTCACCGCGGCCTCGGCCTAGAGCAGGAGAAGGAACTGACTAAAAACAACCCGTTTTTAGTCAGTAAGAGTATGAAAAACTCTTTCGCCTTACCCTGGGCGGGACAAGTCATTTGATGATTTTCCCCTGACAAAAAAAGGTGGATCTTTGCTATGGTCTTAATAATTCAAAATAATAAACAATCTCCGCAACCTTTGGAGTCAAGCAGGTAGGACACGTAGATCATCATGAAATGTTTCTCTTGACTCTCATTTGGCCGCTTTTTGTAGGAATGTTACACGAAATGGAATATGGAACAATCTAGACTTTTCTCTTTTCATAGAAAGTGATTAATGGGACTAAATGTTGGTTAAAAATACGATAATTGCATTAGCTTTCAAATATTTCAGTATTTTTTGGATTGATTTATTAATATTTCGTTGTAAAATATTAAAAAAAATGTAAATATTTGTGATATTGATATAATATTCAGAACTTTTTAAAATTAAATTAAAATATTTCATTTTCTATAAACATTACAACAACGGAACAGTAGACTGTGTGGAAATTTCCTTACATTTCAGCCACTGCAGCAAACGCTCCAGGCGTCGGGGATAATATAAAGATGACACCGTAAGTTCAACATTTACAGACAGCGAATAAGGGAAGGCCGCCCACCGAAAGAACTAGACCGCACGGAGCGTGGCGTTCTGCATGCGCCTCAAAGAGCTTGCAGATCACCACAGACGGGGCCTACTAGAGGCGATCTAGAGCATCGCCTCTAGTAGGACTTAGGATAAATTCAATAACATACTGTGGCTCCCTCTCCCCTTTTCCGGAGTGAGAAGAGTCATATGACGATATTCCTTTAAAAAAAATGTTCGTCCTGAATGATGCGGTTACTTTAGGAAAAATAATTTCAAATACCACTAATCAAGTATGTCCACGCGTAATTACTAATTTGTTGTATGAAGTAGGTCTGTATTGTACTTTATCAAATCGAAAGTGATAAATTTATATCACAGGTTTGATAGTCTGCCACCGCTAAATGTTGATAAGCAATACATTAATTGATCATCTACTCATCTTATAGATTAAAAGAACACGGTTTCCTACTTTAGTTAAGGTATAAAACTTATTAGAAGCGGTGCTGGAGCATTCACTCGGATCTGAAACTCACAATGAAAGGTTCGTTTTGGCTATGAAAAGTTTAATTCTGTGACCGGATCTACTTAAACAAATTAAAAGATAAAAATTTTAATTTATTAGTATTTTGTTTTATTTTAGTACTGAAGATTAAAGTTGTTTGTGTTTTTAGGAATAATAATATTATTGGTCATCGTGTACGCGGCCGTGGGGCGGGCTCAACTAGATGAATGCCCTAAAGAACAGGAAACAAACTGGGAAATCGAATGGTTGCTCAGACACGAGGATTGTGAAAAGTTTTATAAATGTACATTCGGCAAGCCAGTTGAGATGAGTTGTCCAGATAAACTTTGGTTTAACCTGGAAACATGGCGTTGCGACTGGCCACATAATGTAGATTGCGAAGACCGTAATATTCCAACGACATCAACCAGTTCCACATCTACCACGACTACGACTCCGGAGCCGACCACTACACCTACTACTACTACGACTACGACTCCGGCACCAACCACTACTCCAACTACTACTACGACTACGACGCCAGAACCGACCACTACGACAACTACTACCACGACTACTACGACAACGACGCCAGCACCGACCACTACGACTACAACGCCAGAACCGACTACTACTCCCACTACTACGACTACGACAACAACTCCAGTACCGACCACTACTCCCACGACTACGACTACCACTACGACACCTTGTCCACCCCCTTCCACCACTACAACCACCACCACCGTATCCCCAATCGTTCAACCACCTACTGATTTCTTGCCCAATGGATGCCCTGTGAACCCTCACATTCACTGGCTGTTGCCTCACCCAACCGATTGTAATGCCTTCTACTACTGCGTCTGGGGAGGACTCGTATTGAGACACTGCCCCGCCAATTTACATTTCAACAGAAAGATTCAGGTAAGTCAAAGTTACTTAATCACTGTGGTTCTTTTTACGTAGGGATGTGTGCCTGTGTTTTTCGATTCGAAGAATACCACTGCTTCAAAAGAGTCCCTCATTATTAATGAAACTCATTACCGTGACTTTATTGATTTGAATTATTTCACGACTATTGCTAATCGTGTAAATCGATATGCCGTATATATTATTTTTGGTTAGTCTAAATGTTATTTTCTGTTTTCTCGTTGTTAAAAGAGTTCAAATACCAATCCACCTTCACCTTAAAAGTTACCTAAAAATATTAAAATTAAAAGATGTGAAAAGTATTTGTTTTGTTGTAATCAAAATGTCTGATATAATCTACAATTGATTTTATCAAAGATAAAATCTCTGTTTACAGATATAATTTTTGATTTTGATACTATCTTAAAAACGTAAAAAATATCGATTACTGCGTTTTTATAATAACATTGATTGGAGAATTATCTAAATAATATGTTCCCCCAATATATGCCTCTTAGTATACTCTGCGAGAACGTTGAGCATGGGATCCATTGATTATTATCAGAAAACGCGAAAAGCAAAGTAAAAATACCTGAAGCACTATAAATTCCTGGGTTATTGTGACTGCATTTTATGCAACTGACTGATGGGCAACAAGTCGAGGGTTCGATGCCCGCGCGGAAAAAAACATTTGTGGGGCGCGATGATTATTATTTGGTTCTTGATTTTATGTGTAAAATAAATCTCACGAAGACAAATGTGAAGTATTTTTTCCTAATAAATAATTTATTTTTTCTTCACAGGTTTGCGACTGGCCTTGGGACGCCGGATGCCCAGTTTCGTTCAACAAGCACTTGACATCCAGACTGTTACTGAGATAATTATAACAGATGACCACAATAACTAAAACGAATACAAATGAGACACTGTGAAAATTATTTATATTTACATTTTATTTTTTACATATTTTATACCTGACAGTATTTTTTATGAATAAAATCTAAGCAAGCTTTAAGAATTTAGTTTTTTTTACTTGGTTATTCTAAACGTACCGAAACTATTATTACAACATCTTTGAGCCCTTTTTTCAAAATATAATTCTCCACTTAACTTTATAAACACATTCTTTCATTAGAACCTTTTTCTGACGATAAAAACGCAAAAAATAGAATTGAAATAAATGATCCACACTTTGCTGAGTTATGCGCTTACCAACCCTTTTTGCAATTTGTTTTACATAAGCATATAACGTTTATATGTTTTATAAATATGTATATATATAAAGGTCTTTACCTATAAAATTGCCGTTCTGTAGTACTGGCCATTTCAAATCGGAACAGTTTTTGTTAGGCTAAGGCTAATTAATGTTGTTTTAAAAACATGGGATTCTTTTTCCAAAAGTTGTTAGACTAGTGTTACATTTTCATCGTATTTCAAATCAAAAATTTCGTTTAAGTTTTTTTATGCAAAACGGAAATTTCATAGCTAAAGAGTTATTATATATATTCGTAGTTGGGTAAAATGGAAAACTATTTTGCAATTTGGTAGAACCAATTATTTTTCATTTCTGTACAATTAGGTACAATTGCCAAGCAAGATAATTTTGTTCCTGTTCCTGGTTAGACATATTTCATTGTTGATAATTTTAGAAAACGTCTCAGTATTACAACGGAAAGTTTGGATTTTTTACAGTGATTACTGGTCACCATCTGTAAAATGACATTTTACAAGTCATTTTGGGAGGTTGTGTCGGGCTTGTCCCATAGAAACACGTAAATGGTGAAATATTCGGTTTAGTTTTGTTTGTTTCATCGGTTACGGGAGTGACGAACACATACATAACTGAAGCTTTCTCATGTCTTAAAATCATGTGCCATGGACAATGTATGTAAAATCGAAAAATATTCAAATATTAAACAAAATTCGCGTCCTTTATACCAGGTTTGCACAACTTCCGATATATGAAGATATGTGAAGAAGGTCTAAACCTCTGAAACGATTTAGATGAAATTTGGTACAAATATAGTTTGAAAATTTGTACAAATATAGTTTGTATTTTTTTCTGACAGGAACTATGTATACGTCCCTAAACCGGTCTATCTTTTAAAAAACTTAGCAGATTTCGTTTAAACGATACACCGATAGTCCTGACAAAATGATGTAGTAATCGTAAATAAAGAAAAAAAATATATCTACTGATAACATTTCATACGACTGTAGTTTTTGGATAATAGATTTTGGAAAAGGCTAGTCAAAAAACCGCAATATTTCCGGAAGGCAATATTCCATGTGGACGAAGTTGTCCCAAAGGGGGTGGTATGTTCAGGTTTGTTTTTAGAGTCCAGACTGGATTTATAACTTTACTGACTACTTGACTGGATTTATAATTATAGAGATACTTTCAAAGTATCTCTGTCCAATATTTAACTCTACTCAGAAGTTATTAATTGGTAAGTCCTTTGGTATTGCGGGTGTATACGGGCGGCGCTGGCCGTTCATCAGTTGGTAAATTTGAGTGAGTGTGAGTTCTATACCATAAAAAAGAAGGGTGACAAATATCTGAATCTGTAATTCACATTTACCTACATATACGTGTTAAGGAAAAGTTGAGGGTAAGTGATCACGTGGGCGCTCAGCGACACGATGGACAGACGTCATTAAATGTGTAACGCATTCAACCTTACGACCACTCCAGCCTATCTATGTTCGGACAGTTTATTGAAGTTTGCGTGAACAAACTCAAAAAACTTAAGTGTCAAAAGTTCCTACACGATAAATATGAGTAAAACGCTAGTTACTTCTCAACTATTAAAGTTTTGACAATATCACAAGTTTGGTGTCTAGTAAGTAATAATGTACCTAGAGTACATCGACTTTTTAATTTCCCCGAATATTAGTTACATCCAGTAATTCGGCATGATTCATATGTTTTCTGAAGTCATTTACGTCAACTTGCCGATGGTTGAACTCGACCTGGTGATGAAACCGGAAGACAATCGAGGGATCTCCTTGACTATTTGGAGTAATTGCCTTGTGTTTGGGCTTGAATAATTAGTCTTGGTGAGCACTTTGCACCAAGACTGGTAGTGACTGTCATTAGTAGTCAGATGATAAGAACGAACGACAGCTCAGGGAACTCCTGAACGGTTCTGAAAAGGTATATTCCATATTCATATTCATATTCCATATGTCGCGGAATACTGCTCATGAATATGGGCCTCTAGCATGGCTTGAAACTAGTCGAGTATCTCGTCAAATTATTACGTGAGTAAGCCGAAAACATAATAAACAATTATGTTGTGTTTGAACCTAATTCATTTAGGTATATTGATGAGAACTTTGCACGTACCTATATGGATTATGTATAATGAAGGTCTGCAGTATACCTGATGATGGAGACCATTGACAGTCGAGTCGACTTCAAGATTATAAAAATAGTTATTAATATTATTTTCTATTTACCTAAATAAAAACATGTATTACTTTGTACAAAGAAAATTAAGTAATTATTTGCTTTTAGTTTACGCCTAATATTTTAAGACAAGCAATATTAAGACAAATAAAAGCATTTTGTGCGTCAAAACCCACTTTGTCGACTATAGAGTATTGCATTGCGCATTCGGTTATAAACGTACATATAATGGTTAATTAATGCATTGCGCTACCAAGTGTGTAAAAGAACTCACTCCGTTTTCGACAATACTTTATTTTTAAACACAATCCTTTGTTTTTAAAGTATTTATTGTGTTTTGAATTTAATTTGTAGTCAGTACTTGTCAATTTTCTTTTTATTTTGTACGAGATTGTGAGCTGAGACCGTTTGTTCTTTTTTGTTGTACAATTAGTATTTAAACATTTTAAAAAAAATACGAATTCATTCTTTTTTCTAACTAGCTTCCATGCATCTTCTCCACTACATACCACTACTACGTACGTACACCAAATTTCAACCAAATCGGTCCAGCGGTTTTTGCGTGAAAAAATAAAAAAACTTACATCCATACACTCTTACAAAATTTTAACATTTAAAATACGAATTTGTAGGATAGAATAGGATAATATCAATTTAAGCTATCTACTGACACGTGGTCCGTACCTTGTCACCTACCCTATACCTAATTATTAAATACCAATATTGCATACTACAACTAACCACAACTTAAATAACGGTAAAACGGGGTGATTAGAATTTGAGGGGTGAATAGATACACGAAAGGGGTGAATAGATGTTGCCGAATTTTCCTTGTATCTATTCACCCCTCTTCTGTGTCTATTTACCCCTCGAATTCTATTCACCCTGTTTTACGGTATATAGAAAGGAATAAATATACGAACGCGTTGGTTCCTGTTTGCGTGGGAATGCCAAGATCAATCCATTCAATTGCATCCTCACAAATTTTCACACTTAAGATATTAGTAGGATTATAAAGACATATAAGGTCTATAACAACATTAATTTTAATTATTTGCTTTAGTTGGTGTTTTGGATAGGCACTGGGATGCCACGAAAATAAGGGTAAAAAAGTATAAGTAGTACCTAAGTATTATGCTTGCTTGCATATTTTATATGAGCACATTTAAGTGAGAAATACGGGGTATCAAGACATTTTGTCCTTTTGCCATTCTAGTCATGATTGTAGCCTTTGCAATATTGAGACCCAAATGTGTTATTTGTAGCTTAGTACCATCACACAGCTTTGGAGTATTAAGATTCTTCATTAATAGAACTGGAACATCAACTTTTAGTATCAACTTATGGCCAATTCTTTATGAGGACCACCTACAGGACATGGTGGAGCATACGGTGGCAGTGTGCCCTGCTTGAGCTGAGCACCGCCGTGTCCTCGGGGAAGTGATCAGCGACGGCAACCTCTTGCGCCCGGCCTTAGTCGTGGACATGGTGCGGAGCGGGAGTAACTAAAAAGCCTTATATTTACGCGGGTATTAACGCGGAAAATTATAATTTGAATACCTTGGTAGGCTTAACGTTTCGACCCGGTTGCACAGGTCGTGGTCACAAGCAGACTGAAGACGCGATGTCACAGCTCCCTGCATTCGGGTGATGAATCTTCATCTACCCCCTTATTTTCATTTTCTACCATATTAGGCCGTCTACACACTACGCATCCACAGATTTGTTAACCGACTTTGAAGGAAAGCGAGGTTGTGTTTTGCGAAGCACTGGATTCCACGTCGACGACAATTTAAAGCCGTCCTCCCGATTGAAATTATTTGAGCATTTCTTTATTTCAACCGCTTCACGCACAAGTCTTGTATGGTAGTGGCGATCAGTGGAGAGAATTTGCGGTCGGTGGAATTCTACCCAGTGATTAGAACCAGCCTGGAGCAGGTGTTCTGCTATCGCTGATTTGTTGCTCTGTTGGTTTTTGACTGCGGCGAGAGGTTTCTTTGAGCCTCTCAGCAGTGGTCCGCTTCGTTTGCCCAATGTAGGAACTACCGCAGCTGCAGTTGATCTTATAAACACCTGGGCTTTGTAGCGGCATTACATCCTTCGCCGTGCCTACCTTATCATAAAGTTTAGCCTCAGGTGTGTAGATCGTCGGGATCGAAATTTTTTTAAGGACGGATCCTATCTTGTCTGTCTCACCCTTGATATAAGGCATGAAGGCAGGTTGTCTGCTCACGTTTGGATGTCTGGCCCTCTTCAGCGGTCGCAATAGTCGCCCATCCCCTACACTATATCCGTTCTCCTGAACATGGTCTAGCTCTTGCCCCAGATGTTCAGGGTCACAGAGGTCATATGCTGTTTTTTAGTGATGTCATCACGGATTGTAAGTGTCGGGGGTGGTGATGTGACTTTGCATGTAGGTACCGATCAGTGTCAGTTGGCTCTCGGTATACACAGTGCGATAAGGACCCATCTAATCTCGCGGTTATTTTAATGTCCAAGAAGAAGGTATTCAAATTATAATTTTCCGCGTTAATATACCCGCGTAAATATAATGTTGTTAAGATGAAACGCGAAAGTTTAAAAGTTAGTATAACTAAAAAGCC